CATTTCCACTTGGCTACCTATCTACTTGTTGGAGCCCCGAAGTACGGATGGGGAACAGCTTCCTTCCCCTGCCACTTGGAAAGAACTTCTCGTGTCACAGTCTTTCCGTTTAATGACCATGGTTCACCTTGCTTAGTGGGACTCCTGAGTTCCCTTCCGACACTGTCTTACGCCTCCAACAACTGCAGAAGGGTCATTCAGACCCCAGGACCACACCGAGGCGTTAATTAGGCTGATGTCCACGGAAATGCATGGATTGAGCATAATTGGGTTTGTGCCGTGGACGGTTCTAGATACGTGAGCAGCAGGGCGAATGGAAGCACCGTCGGAGTTAAGTCATGCGTGTCACGGGCTGTGCGTAACATGGCCACTGTAATGGTCAGCGACTAAGAGTGCGTCTCACTTAGTGGTGTGTCCCCCGAAGTTTGTTCATATCAACTCCGTAATGCTCTCAAGAGGAAAACGTAGGGGTGCACATTTCTCGGAAAAAGTAGGGGTGCACATTTCTCGACAAGATCGCTGTCAAGTTTGGAGGAGAAAAGAAGGAGAGTGAACTGGAAAGAGAAGTATGGCCCTTGCGCGCAAACAGCGACCACCCGGTGCTAGCAACGAACCGCTGTTTTAAGCCCTGTCTGTGCTCAGTTCAACTGAGTAGGAAGAGGTGATAAATTAGTTTTCATTCCTCAGAAAGAATTTGTTTTTCTTTAAGGATGCTTTCTGTGTCCAATAAGACTTTTCTTTGTACAGAAATCCTTTAATTTTTATTTTCACACATTAAAAAATGAAACACACTATACAAATGGTTTCCACAGCAGATTACACGTGGGCCCGTTCAGACTTCTCTCAGCAGGTGGCCGGTGTACCCATCCGGATGCAGTAGCACGCAGCCCTCCACGGAGGGTCAGCCCCTTCATTCTTAAATTAGGTTAAATGGCGCGCATAGGTGTCCATATGTAGACTTGAAATGCATCCGTTTTGAGCAGTTCTGCTGGGAGCCTCGGGCCGGCGGCGGCTCCTGGTCTCAGCGAGGTCTGCATGTGGCAGGCAGTGGCTGCTGTGACAAGCAGTCCCCGCTGTCCTGCAGACCCACCTGCCTGCCAGGCCACTCTCAGACCCCCTACAGGGGTTAGGCCAAGCAGCTGTAGATGTCCTTCTCGATCAGAATGTTGTTGCATTTCTTGGTCACTGGCACTCGGGGCTTGTGCCTGGAGGACAGCTGCGTGGGGACCTCGCCGAGGAGCTGCTGGTGCTTCAGGACCTCACTCATCTTTGTGATGCGCACGATGGCCGCCTGGATCAGGAGTTTGCGGTACTCCTCGATGTTCTTGCGCATGGTTTCCTGCTCCTGCTTCTGCTCCGTTTTCATTGGCATGTTGATATTAGTGCGTAACTTCTTATTTTTATACGTGAGATACAAGTTTATTGAAGTGTCTGGTTTCAATTCCACCTCATCAACATTCACATTTTCTTCAACATATCAATACTTGATGAAAAATACCTGTTCCTTATTATGCCTAAGATGTTTGAAATGCAGAGAGATAGTGAGGTTAAGCTTAATAGCCTAAATCGTTTGACAATAACAATAAGCTTGTCTTCTGGATGATTAACAACCTAAGTTTGCAGACCAAAATTAGAGAAAAAGGAGGGCTACAAGGAAAGCCAACATTTTGGCCCTAACCTTCTAAGGTCCATTAAGACTCAGGACATAGGAGAACTTGTACTGTAACGTCATGTACCTCGGTAGTGTCCCAAATTTTCTGATCAAGAGGAAAGTGATCGATGACGTAGAGTGTGCCTAAGGAGAGTCACATGGGGAGAAAACACTCTCTCAGGCTTTCACAGAGAGCACATTGGCCAAGCATTGGCCGTGACTCATCCACATGGCTGACACTGACAAAGGTTTTACAATCTGAGGTACAGGATCTCAGGATAAATCCTGAGGGGATTTCACTGACCTTATCAGACCCAAAAGCTACAACTCTTGTTGAGATCCTACAAATCCAATGATTTGTTCTAATGGTGTTTGTAAATAGGATCTCAAGTCTGCATCTTGTACAGCAATTAACCACTAGAAGAATATATGCAGTGTGTTAGTTATTGAAACTGTACTACCGTTTTGATTTGAAACTGTCTCATTGCTGTTTATCAATAAAATTTTGAAAAAAAAATTCACATTTTCATCTTCCAAGACCAATAATTTCGGCTTCAATAAAATCCATAGGACTTGTGCCAAAATGCCCATCTTGGTCTGCGTGCTGCCCATCAGGGGCTGTACAGTGTAGGTGTCCTCCGAGTGGTAGTGCAGCAGGATGGCCATCTGGAAAGTGGGCGCCTGCAAAGTGCATCTGGCTTGGAAGCAGTTAGTTACCAGCTCTCCTTTGGACAGCTGAAACAGTCAGGTAGTTTCCTGCCACGGGGACGAATGGCGCAGAAAGCTGGGAATCGCTGGTAACTGCGCTCCATCTCAGACGACAAGGTGGACATGCATGACTGCTGAAAGGGCCACGACCTGGAGCTCAGGACCTGGATACTAGAATCCAGGCCCAGGGGTTCCGAGGAACACGTCTTTGTCCTCAGTGTACTTGAAGACAACCATCACTTGGTTGGGCGTGTCTTCCAGTTCTTCGTCTGGCTTCTTGGAACTTTTCTCTACAAGCCATCACAGTACCGAGCCAGCAATTCAGGAGATTTACTGGACGACTGGGCCATCTTGGTAACCGCACTGTTGCTGATGAAGCGCCCACAAGCCTTGTCCAGCGCAGCCACGAAGCCGGCATCATTGCTGAAGGCCGACATCACCAGAATGTTGTACTTTTTATGAATGTCCAGCAATGTCTGTACATACATGTTGGGGTCGTTCAGAGCAGCCTCGCCGCACTGCTCAACTGCCGGCAGACCCTGATTATGAATGTGCGTCTCCAGCAGCCTTTTCAGTTCTCCCAGGCCATTCTGGATTTGAGACACAAGATTATATATGTGCCCCAAATCTTCGTTCTTGTTGGCATCCGACAGGTTCTGGAACTCCGAGTGGATGATTTCCAGGCGCTTCTTGATGAGGGCCTGCCGCCCTTCCGTGCCAGCTCGTCCTGCATGCTCTCACGCAGGTAGACCTGCGCTCTCCACTGCTCCTCCAGCAGATGCGCCTCTGCCTTTTTTTTTTTTTTTTGGCAGAACCGGGGATTGAACTCAGGCCCTTGTACTTGCCAGGGTAGCACTTAGTCCACTGAGCCATCTCCCCGGCCCCTCGCCTCTGCCTTTTACATGGATTCAGTAACTGGGCTCTGCTGCAAGAATTCAGTACCTCTCTGGTATAAAATCTCTCTGTGTCAGCCAAAAATTGAGCTTCCAAGGATTCTTTGTACACTGTGAACATAGGGCCCTCTGCAAATGCATCGTCTTCGTGCAGCCCCAGTTCCACATCAGGCTGTACAACTCCACCATGCAGCCTGGTATCGATGGTCTCATCACTTCTTTCCTTTTCAACCAGTTATAAAACCGCATTTGTAGCCTGTGTATTCAATGGCCTGAACAGACAATCTCTCCAGGTTGCCAATGCAAGTGAACAGACGCCATGTATTCCTTTTCTCCCCTCATCACATTCACGGGGACCCTAAACCATGTCTACTGAGGTAGGCACAAATTCCATTCAGCACTTTGCTGGAAAATTGGCAATCTTCTCACTGCTGAGTGCAGGAACTTGAGGACGCGCTCATCCATCAGGTCTCCTCTAGCCTTAAGAAGATTTGTCAAGTAATTCTTCAAAAATTCCTTAAGTCATTTGTACAATTCCAAGCCAACAGACTGGGCTTTTTTTGACTTAGAAGGACTCTTCAGCTCCCCAGGCCTGGTTGGACTGGCGTATGCTGGTACAGTAGTTATACACATGGATGAAGAGTTCCATGTATCGGGACTTGGCCATACTCTGTCTGGTGTAGACTTGCTGGATCCCAGCTCGGAGGTCATCCCAGACCTGGTCGAGGCTGATCTATCTGCTTCAGTCTGTGGGGTTCTGGCTCCTGCCTGATGACTTTGTGAGGAGTGTTCTGAAGCTGTCTGGAAGACCGCCCCTTATTCAGACACAGCTAACTCACCATTAGTTAAAAATATATAGTATCACCCCAAATTTATTCACAGCAGTTCACAAAGGATGTCCTTTAAATGGAGAGAATGAGATCTCATCACAGGCAAGCCTGCAAGCCCTTGTCCTGTGTCCCCCAACGTGGCTGGATCCCCAACCGGGCTTGTGGCCAGCCGAGCTCCCTCTCCCAACAAGACTTTTAAGGTAGGGGGCTGCTCACAGGACTGCAAATTTGAAGCACATCTTAGGAAGCTGGGGACTGCATGCTTGCATTTCTTGGGATCTGTTGGGTTGGCATATCTCACTCGAAGTCACCTCCAAGGAGGTAACCATGGAGAGGAGGGAGGATGTCACTAGGAAAAAGACATACCCAGAAGTGAGGGTCCAGGGGCGCAGACAGTGTGGGAGCCAGCAAGGGGGCTGCTTAAGTCAGCAAGGGGCCTTAGCAACAGCCCACGTGCGGAGATGCAGACCCTGCCCGGCTCTGTTCCCTGGGCTCAGGCCCCATAAATGGGTCACTGTGGAGCGATGCACAAGCCAGCCCCACTCCTTTTGTTGTATTTCTTCTCAGCTTTTGAGCTCAAAACACACAAATCACTGATTACTTTCCCCAAGAAAGAATCGAATGAGAAAGGTGGATCTTGATCTACAGCGAGAAGTGTGTAAATCACAGGATGCCTGGAGGGCACTATGAAAAGGGAGTTTCCGAGATGCCCAGCTCCCAAAGTGGCTTCACAGAGCTCTTTCATCCCTTCACCCCTCCCCCACCCCAAGAGACACAAGTCCGTCCTCCGGCTGGAGACAGGGCTGCGCAGTGGGACATCTTCAGCGTCAGGATGTGCACGGACACTTCCACAAGTCTGAGCCACAGAGGGAGGTGGAGGCACGCAGAGGTATGGTGGCGCAAACACTCGCCTGCTCAGCGCTGATTGTTTCCTTCTGTAGTACGGCGGTTCCTGGCTTCTCTTTTGCTTGTTACCAGGTGCAGATATTATCCTATTTGGGGTGACAGGCTGGGACCCGCGCTGCCAATTTAAGAAATGGGATTCAGGAGGGGGTAAAAAAGAAAATAAATAGTAAAAACATTAGATCCATGATAAGTCAGGGAATCTTGTAAGACGTTCTTTTGCTTTCCCTTGGACCTGAACAGGAAAATGTAGAGGAGAAAGTTTATGAAGTCAAAGAACAAAGAAAGCCGCTCCTGTAGTAACTGATGTAAATGTGCTAGGTTCTCTTTGTGTAGTGCCATTCATCCACCCAGACTGGGGTATCTTTTCCATCCAGGCTGCAAAGCAGTACCGAAGGGAGAAGCTACAATGGCCACTATTAGAATGGGGACTGACACCATAAACCTGCATGACCTACCTTAGCAGTCACTAAAATGTTTAGGGCTGCCATGTGACATATTTCCAAAATCAAACCTGATTGATACCCCCCCATGTGCATAATCTGCTCTGTTCAGGTGGTGGCCCTTGATGAGTACAATTTCACATTCATTTCTTTTAAAGATCTATTCCCCAGAGATGTACAGGTGCAGGGGCCATGTAAGGGTGACAGACCCCAGACGCCTGAGAGAGGTGCAACACCAGCTGAGGCGAAGTGAGCCCCACGAGGAAGAGAGTGCTGGCCTCAGCAGACATACAGGAAGACCAGCACTGCATGGTCACAGCAGGCACAAGCTCCACTGTTAAGTACGTCCTGAAAACGCTTTCCTTTTATTTCTGTTCTGTGCATCAGCCTTCCTTCATGTATCTCCAATGTAAATTTCTTTAGAAGTGGTGCTACCAAGCACTGTCTCCTTCCTTTGTTGTTTTCTGGTTGAATGATGGGAGCCCCACTCCAGCAGAGGCATCCACTGAGTAGTGTAATCTCTGGGTTCGAAAACCCAAATATCTATTGAATGAGCTACAACTTGAATTTCACCTTCATAATCAAAGTCGATTATCTCAGGTACAACAGTAGCACTCTGTTATCCTAATTTTCCCCAGGGTTTTGGGGTTTTTTTTGCATTTCTAGAGAAGGGTCTATGGGGTATTCAGGGTCTCACTACTAGATCCGAGTCCTAGTGATCTGCCTGTTTACAGTCTCCCAAGAGCTGGGATTACAGGCCCGCACCACCATGCCCAGTTTCAGTTGCCTTTGCAGTGGGCCCTGGGGGCGGGGCCGGCACGGCAGGCCCAGGGATGAAACCCGGCCCCTGAGCTTGCTTGCAGCCACTTTAATCTGTTGAGTTATTCGGCCAGCCCTCCCTTTCCCCATCATTGATCTAACAATGCACTCAGGTTATGTTCCTGATATTCTTATGGTGCAGTACTTTTCTTCATTATCAGTGAAAGGAGTTAAAGTTAACTTCAAAAAAATTGTTTTAGGGGGCTGGAGAGATGGCTCAGTGGTCTAAAGCACCTACTTGAAACAAGCTTGTCAAAGCACAGGGACCGCGGTTCGATCCCCCAGCACCACATGCCAGCCAGCGCCGCCCCCTGGTGGGCTGAGCTGGCCACACACACAATAAATAAATGTAATAAATAAATAATTTAAAAAAATTGTTTTAAATCAGCAAGTGACAAACAAATTTCCTTGAAAGTCACAGTCGAATACAGAGTGCACCCTAGAAAAGAGGAGGGGCAAGACAGCTTCCACCCATTTTCATGAATTTCACCAAATACTGGATCTACTCGAGGAAGGAGAGAGAAAAAAGGCAACTTTCAAAAAGGAGTATGCTATGAAAGGAGGCTTTCACTATGCTCCCTCCCAAGAGCAC